CTGGAAGTCAGTGTAGGTCTGGCCTGGGCACCAAGGAACCTGGGCCCTCTGGTAATTGAACTGCTTTAGCTGCTGGCGGGGGGAGGTGCCGCGGGGTGGATCGGAGATAGGGGTGACAGGAGTTAGGAGCCCGTTGTAATCGGGCCACCAGGCTGGCTGGCAGGCGTCCTGTAAAAGACTAGAGGCTGCCTCCAATGCCCCCCGGTGGGGACGCGCCGTCGCGGGCGGTCCCCCCGACCTGACAGTCCCACAACGTTCCCAGGGCAATGCGGTCGGATCAAGGCGAACAGCTCACACACTTAGAGCAAAGGCTGAAGCCAACAAGGACAAGATACGCCTTTGGCTGTTCTTAATACCTTCCCAGGGTAGCTGTTCTCTAGAGAGAGCCCAAGCAACGGTCGAGAAAGGAAACAATTACCAGAACCGGGTAGAAGGCGACCCTTCTGAACCAAAGAGACGGTGCTGTAGTGCTAATTAGACCCAGCAATCTGGAGTGAGGCTGTGTCCACCGCCAACGGCCTGTGGACCGTACATTCTGGCTCACATACCCGAGGGAAGAGGTAAAAAGGAACCATGTGCAGACTTCCTTCTGATGGCAAAGAGTGGAGGCCGGCGAGGAAGGCTGGCTTTCGCACCAGGTGCAAACTGGAGAGAACCAGACGTTCCGACGGGCAAAGACAGAATCGGGGCCTCCCTTGGAGACGCTCTGGGCCTCCAGTATTAAGAAACCCCACCTTCCACAAGACCCTTTGGTGGGCATGGAGCCCCAGGGAAGGGGCTGAGCACCTCATCTGGAGGCCGTGACCACCGGGAGTCACCAATGATCCAGGCAGAGTTGAGATCGAGTAGTTCCCACGCCTGACTTTGGGGAGAAAAAGCTCTGGCACGCACCGCCATCGGTCGTACTGGCAACAGAACCCATCGGCACCAACCATCGAATTTTAAACGCTTTGTAAACAGCTGAGAACGGATTTTTTTCCCCCCAAAACCCGGACTAGTTTTTACTTGTTTCGTACGCACGTAAAAGTGACAGGAGCTTCCCGGCAGCTGAGCCTGCGTGATTTAAGGCCCAACCCCGGCGCCCGGTGCCTGGGATGGAGGTTGCCTGCATAAAGGAGGCTGCGTGCAGACCCTGGGGGATAAATTTGTTGTGTTGTGGCTGCAGCTAGAGTCGGAATGAGTTTAGGAGGTCAGACCCGTATATCTCAGAGTCCAGGCCACAGAAGCAGCAGCTCCCGAGCCTTCTGTCTGCGGTGCGGTCGCCAAGAGCCTAGGATCAAGAGGTTTCGGACGAGCTCTGATAGGCCCCTGGGGTCCTCTGCCCAGTAAATGTGCAGAGATGGGAAAACAACACTTATTAATTTTGCTGCTGATTCAAAAGAAGGAGGTGTTGGCAGCACCTGTGAGGACAGAAGAGCACATAACCGAGTCTGCAGAGGTCACGCCTGGGACATCACATCATGAGGCCCCGTGGGGGAGGGCGGGGGGGGGGGG